AGATTAAAAAGGGCTTTCTACTGGGCAGGCATGAAACAAGATGTAACACTCTTTGTTAATGAGTGTGACATCTGCAGAATCAACAAACCTTCACATGAACCAACACCTGGGTCGTTACAACCTCTACCCATTCCACAAGGGCCCTGGACACACATATCAATGGATTTCATTGAAGGCTTGCCCAAATCAGGAGGGAAAGATTGTATATTTGTGATCACAGATATGCTGACTAAATATGGTCACTTTATACCACTAACTCAGCCTTATACAGCTCAAGGGATTGCTAAGGTGTTCCTGGATCAAGTCTACAAAGTACAGGGCATGCCAGTTTGCATCTTAACTGACAGGGACAAAATATTCACGAGTCAGTTTTGGAAGGAGTTTTTTAAGATGGTTGGGGTGACCCTAAGTTTCTCATCTTCCTATCACCCACAGACAGATGGACAGACAAAGAGACTTAACCAATGTATAGAGAGTTATCTTCGGTGCATGGTGTATCACTGCCTTAAGAAGTGGATGAATTGGATCTCACTTGCTGAATAATGGTATAATACAAATTACCACACATCACTCAAGGCCACACCTTTTCAGGCTCTCTATGGCTATGTTCCTAACTTCTTTACTGTAAACGCCTATCTAGACTCATCCAACTAAGATGCCAAGGAGTTTATCAAGCAGAGGAACATCATGATGCAAGAATTAAAACAGAACCTTTTGGAAGCACAAAACATGATGAAGACATATGCAGACAAAAAGAGAACATATAGGATTTTTGAAATTAGGGATTGGGTTTACCTCAAACTTCAACCCTACAGGCAGAACTCGGTCCAAATGAGGAAAAATTTAAAGTTGAGGTCGAGATATTTTGGGCCCTACAAGGTGATTGAAAAAATTGGTCAGGTTGCTTACAAATTGGAACTCCCAGAAGGATCTAGGATCCATCCGGTTTTTCATGTATCATTACTGAAGAAAAAGGTAGGGAATGGGGACTTAACTGTTACACATCTGCCTGACACTGGGAACGATGGCCTTTTTAAGGCTGAACCGACTGAAGTTCTTGACCGCCGCGTGATTCACAGGCACGGTGAGGAGGTGCAGCATTTACTCGTGGTCTGGGGGGATAGAACCCTAAACATTTGCTCTTGGGAGGACGAGAAATTTCTGCTCAAGAAATTTTGGGATTTCGATCCTTGTGGGCAAGGATATAAAAATGTAAGGGAAAATGTCATGAACCTCATGGAGCAGGTAAAGAATGAAAAGGGATCTAAAATGGTAAAGAGCGTTGGTGAGGAAGATGATCGAGAAAATGAGGAAATGGCTAAGACAAAATTTACAGATAGGGTTTTGTCGGAAATGGGAGGGCTGCAAGAGATCTCGACACGTGGTCAGATCATGGCCGTGGATCACAGTCAGAAAGGGGGATCTTAGAGGATGACATGTGGCAGCATTTTATCACTTTATATTTATTATATTCAGTATTTAAGTGTAGTTGCATTTTTATTTGAAGTTTGTTATGTAGTGGGCCCAAGGAGAAAAATGTATGGTATTTTTACCCGAGAATGGAGAAGGGAAAAAACAGTGAATGAGAATCTATCAATTTTCTTCATCTCTCTCTTTTCTCTCTCTTACTCTCTTTCTCTCTCTACTTCCTCCATTGTTCTTCAATTACAGCTCAAATATTTACTCAAAAAATTACACAAAAACAAATACAAAAAAAAATATAAAAATCCATCTATTACATTTGGTAACAGAGCCAGCTCTTCCTTGGAAGATGGCAGAGGGAACAAGGAGCAAAGACCTACAAGAAACCAACAAGAGGATAGATCAATTGCTGGGCATATTTGTCTTGCAGAAAGATTTCAATCGCCTCGGCTTTAATCTATCCGTGTTCGAGTTGTAATTTTTAATTTTGTTTTAGTTCATATTGTACGAACTGGATACTTCAGTAAGTTCATAGGTTCCCATTGCAATCAAAACACATATTGTGTAACAATATCCGAAGAGCGCGACGAACGTGAATCCTTGGTCTTTGCCGCAAAGTAGATCTTGAATCTTCTCTACGCCGACATTGAATTTACGAACGTTATTCAGAGGCTTTGCAGCTTGTTTCCGGAATGAACGTCAGTCTTGAGGTTGAACACGCTTGAATCTTGCTTCGAATCTTCAAGAATGCCTTTGAATCTTCAAGAGCACTTGAATCTTGTCGAGAGAATCCCTAGAGCTCTTGAACTTGAACTTGAATATGAACGTAATTCGGAGGCTTGACAGCTTGTTTCCGGATTAAACGTCGGTTTTGAGCTTGAACGTGTTTGAGTCTTTCTTCGAATCTTCAAGAACGGCTTTGAATCTTCAAGAACACTTGAATCTCGTCGAGAGAATTCTCTATAGCTCTTGAACTTGAATATGAATTATGATGTGTTTTGACGTTAGGGAGAGCCCTCTTTATAGGTGTAGGAGAGTGAACCCTACCAAATTTAAGAATCGTAGGACGCGATTTGATTCGTCCATGATGATTCACATGAGATCTTCTAGATCCACTTAAATCTTCCAAGATATTCTAGAAGATATGATTTATTTACGAAGATTAAGAATTTGACACTTGGCATTATTTGAATGGTCAAGTATTAAAATATTAAAATATCAATTAATTAACTATTTAAATTTAAGAATTAAGTATATGGAAATTCCTAAAATATAAATAGAAAATATGTGTTGATTTTTAATAAATTAATTTCCACGTGGCGCCATCTGATTGACCACAAATCTTTGTTATCTACAAACCCGAAAAGGAAAAAAAAAAAAAAGTGCAATGAAATATTTTATCATTAATGGGATATGTTGGATTAATGCCACATATGTTAAATTTATTAAGTATTATTTCTTATGTTTTATTTGATGATTTGCAACATTGGTCAGATTTATTAAATTATATTTATTAGATTTTATTTAACGACTTGATAAAATATATATATATATATATATATAAAGAACATAGATCAATTTATAATTTTACTATGTTTTATTTTAAAATTGGACTATATTGGATCCTGAATAGAAGCATCATATTCATACAAAGGTACAAGTTATCACAAATTATAACGTTTTGATTTATTTTTATTTTTTATTTTTTATTTTTTGGTTTATGTTGCCATGGGAATTCATATATTGGAAAATGAAATAACTTAAGGGGTGCTCTGCATTGGTGGCAATAATCATCTGCTGCCGCGTCTGCTCGGTCGGTATATGATGGGTGGCTTTCGACATGTCTAAAACTATTATGTATGTCAAGAAACACAGCACATCCAAAGAAAAACTTTGTGGACCACAGTACACCCAAAGAGATGCAAGGAGATAGGGCCCGCCCATACAATGCCTTTGGATGTTGAGCCTCATCATTTTTGTCTATCTTTTGTTTTTCCTTTTGCTAGGTCCATAATTATGTTTAGAGTGCACGGATTTAGATTTAGATCTCCGAACACATGGAACTGAAAACTCGCATTCTTGTTATACCTATTATTATTATTATTATTATTATTATTATTATTATTATTATTATTATTATTATTATTATTATTATTATTATTATTATTAACCTCATTTCCCGAAACCTAAATCCCATATCTAAGCGTCGATCTTTCTCTTCCGGCGATTGCATCCTCTCAGCGGGGAGCTCCGTGCGCGGCCGTGTTGTTGTCACCGCAGATCTGGACCCCCGGCCTCTAGTCGAGAGGGGATTACGGGGTTGTTTGGTGCATCGTTGGGCTGATATCTTTTGGTTGCTTGTCGGAGGGGGTTGTGTGAGTCTGGGGTTGACCTCCATTTGACTGGTTCGTGGGTGTCTACCCGGGAGAGTTTTCAGGGAGGGAATTGGATCTTGTTAGGCGTTTTCTGCAATTTCAGGTCTTGGTGCTTTGGCTCGGTCTGCTGTGTGTTTGGGTGGGTGCTCTTTCTGGTGGATGGAGGGCTTTTCGTGGTGTTTTGGTTTCCTAGGAGGAGGGCTCTAGTTTGTGTTTTGTTTTTTGTTCTGTTGTTGTATTGTTCGTATTTTTTTTTTTTTT